TATGAATTTCCCTTCAGTTGTGTCTGTCTCTTTGTGACCCCAGGGACTGTAGCCTGCCAGGCTCCTCTGTCCATGGGATCCTCCAGGCAAGAATACTGGAATGGGTAGCCATTCCCTTCCCCAGGCTTCCCCAGGGGTTCTTTCTGGCCCAGGGATTGAACCTGGGTTTCCCGCATTGCAGGCAGATTTTTTACCATCTGAGACACCTGGAAGTCCAAGGACCCCTGGAACGGGGCTCTTTCCATCCCTGGAGTCTGAGAAAAAGGTGTGGTCCTTCACTGAGCCTTGGGCTCCTCATCTGGAACATGGGTGTGGTTGACCTGGGCCTGTGGTGTTTGGACACTTCTGGGGGGGCCTTTGAGCTGGCTGTTGGGGCTTCCTGAAGGTGGGAAGGAGGGAGAGCTGGGCTGCTGGACCCTTCTGCTCAGCAGCTCCGAGCCAAGTAGACGGTTTCATTAGAAGTGTCAGCAGCTTGAGAAAAAAATGGAAACGCTGAGCTAGGATTTCTCTGAGGGACTTTCTGGCCCCGGGGGCCGGAATCTCCCCACCAGCTGCAGGATTGCCCCCACTCTTTGTCCCCAGGGCCCCAGACTGGGTTTCCTACAGAAAGTGGAAGGGGGCAGGTACTGCAGTTCTTGTCCACTCTTTCCCTGGACCATCCAGTCCCACTCCACACCGTGTCCCGCTTTTCTCTAGAGTCCAGCAGCCTGGGGGGCGGGGGCGGGGGCAGTCCTGGACTGCAGGCTGTGACCTTGGGGAAGTTAGGCAATCTCTTGGAGTGGTAGTGTGACTTCTTAGGGTGACAGAAAAGATACCTGTGGAAGGCTTTTTCTGAGAGCCTGCAGCAACAGGGCTGAGCCATTTATCTTAAAAATGTGTACAATCCATGGCCTTGGGGTCATCACAAGCTCTCACCTGGGACAAGCTCTCACCTCACATGGCTGCTCCCAGCCTGTTTCCTTGAAAGGTACCTCCTACCTTGAAAGTAAGTCCCACTTTCAGGGCCCCTGCCCAGGCTGTTTGTTCTCTTTGTGAGTGTCCCCTTCCTGTGGTCACCTGCTGACCCCTGGTGCCCTGTGGGCCCTGGGATGGCAGTCCCCCAGGGCAGACGGTCAGTGCCTTTACTGTGGCGACCCTGATGCCCTTATCAGGGAAATACTAGCGCACTAGACTCAGGGTCAGCAGGCCCTCCGCGCTCCGCCCCCCTCGCCCCCGCTCCCAGCAGGAATGTTGAGCCTGCAGCACCACCCAGGGGCACCTGGAATAGCTGCATCGATGTGGAGCAGGCTGTGCTCCGTGCTGCCCCTGGTGGTGGCCGAGGGCAGTGCGCCCTCACGTCTGCAAATGGGTAATTGCCTAGGAATAACTTGTTTAATTGCCTAGGAATATCTTGTTTAAGGGGGCATCCCTGGTGGCTCACAGGTCAAAGTGTCAGACTGCAATGCGGGAGACCCGGGTTTTATCCCTGGTTCCAGAAGATCCCCTGGAGAAGGAAATGGCAACCCACTCCAGTATTCTTGCCTGGAGAATCCCATGGACAGAGGAGCCTGGTGGGTTACAGTCCACGGGGTTGCAAAGAGTCGGACACGACTAAGTGACTTTAAAAAAAAAAAAAAAAAGCTTGTTTAAAGGACCAAGTGATTTTGGTATCACTGCAGACAGTGACTGCAGCCACGAAATTAAAAGATGCTTACTCTTTGGAAGAAAAGCTATAACAAACCTATATGTGTTAAAAAGCATAGACATCACCTTGCTGACAAAGGTCCATAGTCAAAGCTATGGTTTTTCCAGTATTCATGTATGCATGTGAGAATTGGACCATAAAGAAAGCTGAGTGCCAAAGAAATGAAGCTTTTGAACTGTGGTGCTGAAGACTCTTAAGAGTCCCTTGGACTGCAAGGAGGTCAAACCAGTAGAATCTGAAGGAAATCAGTCCTGAATATTCATTGGAAGGACTGATGCTGAAGCTGAAGCTCCAATACTTTGGTCACCTGATGCGAAGAACTGACTCATTGGAAAAGACCCTGATGCTGGGAAAGATTAAGGGCAGAAGGAGAGGGGGTGACAGAGGATGAGGTGGTTGGATGGCATCATCGACTGAATGGAGGTGAATTTGGGCAAACCCCTGGAGATGATTAAAGACTGGGAAACCTGATGTGTTCATGGGGGTCACCAAGAGTCGGACACAACTTAGTGACTGAACAACCACAAGAGGACCACTGGGGAAGCCCCCGGCCTCAGTTAGCCACCCCTTTGCCTACTGCGTGAAATCCTTCACTGGTGGGTCTTCTTTGCCCTTGTTCCTCCTCGTCCCTTATGCTAGAATCCCTGGAGCCAAGTCATCCACCCCTCTCCCTAGCTGAGTTCCCCCTCTGTCTAGGTTTCTTTTGCAGTCTCAGGGCTTGGGCCCATCTGTACAAAGGAGGGAAGGGCCTTGGTAGAGCCGCTAAGAAAAGCCATGTCCCTGCTTTATGGTCTGCACAGTCTTGGACCCAGAAGAAAAGCAAAAGTCTTTAGGGAAGCCTTGTTCATTTGCCCCTTCAATCAGCCAGCATTTATTTACTTGGAGTCTTCCACGAGATGGCCTGGGCAGATTGGGGAAATGGAAATTCACAAGAACCAGCCCATGCCTGTAATGTTGGGAGTGGCTGGTAGGTCACATGCCTGAACAGGCAGTGGGTCTTTCCCCCCACCCCCTCCCCACACCTCCATTCCAGAGCACCTGGCTGCCTCTGTCTCCTTGGCCCTTTCCAAGCCCCCGGTACCTGTCATCTGTCACCTGGTTACTTGCTCTTGAAACATAATTTGGAAAAAAGACTCAAATGTCTTCAGAATTCAAAGAAATGTATTTCTAATAGCAGAGGGCAATAGAGATATGATCTGTTTAAGTCCTGGCATGCTAGGCGTTTGCTTGTTCTGTTTATGATGGGCTAGTTCTGGTCCTGGGGCCTGCCTCCACCCTTCAGGCCCTGGTTCCTTCACAGATGGGTGTAGGTACCCCACTGGATCCATAGCTAATCTTTTCCACCTCAGACTCGGACCAGGGGGCTCTTTGAGAAGCTGCGTCCTGTCCAGAGGGGCACACCTCTCCAGGGATGGCACGGCTGGGACAGCTGAGTTTTGATCGCCCCAAGGCTCTGTATCACATGAGCGGTGGCCTGTCACTCCCAGGGCAGTTTGTACCCAGTCCAGGTGGCTGCCACCTCGTCCCTGCCCCACTTGGCTCACCAAAGGCCTCCTCTTGGCTCCCAGTGGGTCAAGAGGGTCTGAGTGTCCCACTGGAAGCCTGGGAACTTGCCAGGCTAGTGACCGCCGCTGGGGCTCTAGGTCCACACCCAGCCCGGACTTCCCTGCCAGCCCCTCCTCTGGGCCCAGTGCCCAGCGCATGCCCATGCCACCCACAAAGCTGATACACTTTTATCAGAGTAGACACCTTGCATGGTGAGCTCTTATCCCCTCCACAGGGACTAACTCCCCTCGTCTCCACCCACTCCACCCAGCCCCTCGCTCCTCTGGGGAGCAGTCTGACTCTGACGTGGGGCAGGAAGAGCCCAGGCTCTGGAAAATGGCCCTTCCTTTGTGGGGCAGCCCTGCCGGGGGAAGGGGAGGGCCAGGCCGGGTGAGAGGCTGGGATTCAGCTGCTCAGTCCTTTCCTTCTGGCTTCAGCCTCCTTCTCTGTGAATCGAGGTTTGGTTCTGTGACCACCCTGGGGGCTATGAGTTTGGCAGAGGGTGGGGATGAGAAGCCCATGATTCTGTGCTGGGCAAGAGCCTCAGCAGAGTGTGGGAAAGGAGGGGCAATTGGGCAGAGAGCAGGAATGAGTTTTCCCCAGTCCCTGGCCCCAAGGGTAATGTGTGAGGACAAGGTTGGGCATGTGGGGGAAGAAGTCACAGAAGGTCTAGGCCCCCATCAACCTGGGCCAAGATTTGCCAGATGCCCTCAGAGTGGCAGCGGAATCCTTCCCACCAGTCTCCCCCTGCTGGGATCCTGGTTGTCACTGGTGATGAACGCTGCACTTACAGCTGGCTGGAGGTGTGTGTGTGTGTGTCTATTACTGTACTATCTTGAGGCTCATAGTGCTGGGCCCAGCCCAGGTAAGAGACAAGACAGGCACAGGTAAGGGGGATGGAAGGTATATTCCCCAAGGCCTCCCAGACTCGAACGCCTCTGATGGGTGTCGGGGCAGGCCAAGGCCAAGGGCTCACAGGGTGTTGCGAGATGACCTGTGCCCACTGGGGAATCACGCACTAACCGGATCAGCTGGGTGTCCCTGCCAGCTACACTGAGGTCACAGGTGAAGCAGCAGAGAGGACAGGGGTCTACTCTCGAGCCCTCCCCCACCCTGCTGGGAGCAGATGCAAGGCCAGGTGGGGAGCTCCTGAGGTTCTGGCTCCCTCGAAACCTCTCGGCACTTCCCTGGTACTCCCAGCTTGATCTGCCGAGCTGAGCCAGCCCAGAGGGGAGGGCAGAGAGCACTATAGGGGCCACTAGGAGGCTAACTGCCCTGGCACGTTTCCTGGGACTCTTCCCAGGCTTGGGGGACCCAGTGAGCCAGTGCGTGGGCACAGGGGCTCTCCTCGGCCCTTCTGAGCCTCTGCCCCCAGAGCTCGGTACACGGACCAGGAAGGGGTAGGCCAGAGGTTGGCAGAAGCCAGTGACCCGGGGCCTGCGGGTGGTCCCTCAAGAGGAGGGGGATGGTGAATGAGGATGTCAGGAAGGTGGCCTGTGCCCCCCACAGACCTTTGGAAAGCCTCACTCCACAGAGTCCCCAGGAAGAGGAAGGAGGGCTTACTAATCTGAACCATTTGCCCAAAACTCCTGGCCTGATGTGCACTTTAGGGAACGGGAAAGGAAGTTCTCTTTGAGCAAAGGTGTGGGGGTGGACTGAGGAAAGTGCTCCCAGCGCAAAGCATACCCCCTTCTCCATACTCCATCGACACCCCACCCAGCATCGGCGAACAGGACATGGAGGAGAATCAGGCTGGCGCGAAACAAGGACGTGAGAATAAAATCACATTTATTTCCAAAAGTGTAGAGGTGGGGAAGCAACATGATAAAAATTAAGGTCAGTTCCCTATGGATCCATTCTGCCTCAGGGGAGGGACAGTGGCTCTTTGGGCTGGTGTGTTCTCAATGGGAGGGCTTCAGGCAGGCCATCCCTCATCGCCATGGCAACCCTCAGGTCCATCACCAGTCAGAGCTGGTCCCTCCTGCCCCGCCCTCCCCTGGAGTTATCTACGGGTTAGTGGGTTAATTTCCAAATGCAGCAGCTCTGGATCTTCCCAGTGGCCACCAGGTTCCCCACCCTGTCACTTTCTTGTCCCCTCAGCTGTCTGGCCTTCAGCCCCAACCCCTCCTTGTCCCATTGGGTACCCCCACCCCCACCTCACCAAGTTCCCAGCTTCTCGGGGTCACCCTCCTCTGGGGCTCCTTCCTTCTGTCTCCTGACAGTCAGGGCCATGGAAGCCTCAGTGAGTGAGCCCAGCTGCAGAGGGGCTGGGGGGTGGGAACAGGCAGATTGTCCCAAGGCCCAGTCCCACTGCCACCCCCAGCAAAACATCCTGTAGCAAAAGGTTAGAAAATGAGTAAAAGACACGAGAGCGTGATAGACTGGGGAAGAGCGTGTCCATGCGGGCAGCCCCAGCGTGGGGAGGGGCTGTGCTGAGCTTCTGGGCTCCAGCGCCCACTCACAGCCTGGAGGGCCTCAGTCCCCACCAGCCAAGTGGTCAGGGACTGGCTGGCACCGCCTGGCAGGAACGGAGCGCTCCAGCGAACAGTCCAGTTGCTTCAGAATCTTGGGTCTCCCGACCAGAACAAACATCTGAGCCTACAGGTCGGCTCACCCCTGACCTGGCCATTGCTTCTGCTGAGCTCATCTGTGGCCCCGCCCCCATGGTCCCGGGATCACAGGCTCTGGACTTGGGAGGCGGCAGGATGGAACTGCTCGAGCCCTGGGTCAGAGGGCTCTGGCGGGGCCCGGACATTTCCCTGGGCCCGGAGGCTTGATCTGGCTGCAACACGGGCAAAGGGAGCCTGGCGTCAGGGCCAGACATCTGAAGAGAAAGTGGGGCCTGCAGGGGCGCCCCCAGTACCGACCCGGCGGTGGGAAGGAGACCCGGGGAATCCAGCACATCACCCCACAGAAGGGCAGAGGGTGGGTGGCTGTCCAAGGCGGTGGGGCCAGCCCACAGGCTCAGGGAGCCATCCCACCTGCCGGCTGGGACCCAGCCCTGCGGACCTCAAGAGCAGGGAGAAAAGAGGGTGGTGTGAAGCCCGGAGGCCAGGCTGCAGGGGCTCACAGGCCGCAGCGGTGCGCATCTGGTCTGGCTGATGCTTCAGGATGGAGGGTGGAGGGGCGGGACCCAGGAGGGAGGGTGTGGGAGGGAGGCGTGAACGCCTCAAAACCAGACAGCAAGAGAGGAGAAACCGAGCCTCAAGTCTATGAGCCGCGCATCACAGCCTCCCGACACCTCTCTGAACAAAACCCCGCCCTCCCCTTCGGCCACCACCCCCACCGGCTCCCCTCCACCGTCCCCATGGGCGCCCCGAGGGCTGCAGCTTCATTTGTGGAGGTAGGCATCCAGCCACAGCTGCCCAGACTTCCTCAGGGACCTGGGGAGAGAAGGAAAGGGGCGGTCAGGGAGCAGGTCGACAGGGGCCAAGGGTCGACTGGGACAAGGAGCCCCAGGGAATCGGGCTCTGCCAGCCTGGGAGCCTCCTCCCAGATCTCCATCAGGAGCCCAGGGCCCCCCGGGGGACCCCTGAAAGGACCCAGGGAGAGACCTTGTCCAACCCAGACAGAGGCCAGGCAATCCCTAGCGACAGAGGGGCCAGGTAGGGGCACCCGTGCCAGCAGGGCCCCTCTGGTCTCCACCTCGAGCGGTCCCACGACCCCGTGCCTCCCAATCCCCTCCTTGTCTCCCAAAGACCTGGGGCATCTCTGACACCCGTGCCCGCCCCTCCTTACCCGATGATGTCTTGCAGGGCCCGGAGCAGCGGCTTCTCCTGGTACTCAATGCCGTGCTTGGCGCACAGTGACCTCACCAGGGGGGCGATCTTATGCAGGTTGTGCCGGGGCATGGTGGGGAAAAGGCTGGGGAGAGCGTGTGGGGGCGGGCGTGAGGGCTGGCCCACCGCCTCCACCGCCCACAAGGAGGCTGGCCAGGCCCGGGAGACCCTGTTCGTCTCTCCCTGTGTGCCCACAGGGGCGGCTGGCCTGCAGCAAGGGAGGGCTGGGCCTCGGGCTCCCTGTCAATAAACGGACCAGTCGCCCGCCCTGCCAGGCTCATGGGATCCAGGGAGATGCCAGGGTCCACGCACAGGGGTGGGTGCCACTGTGATCACATGGTCCGGGGAACAAGAGCCCCTCTCTAGGCCTCCAGGAGGCTCGTGGGTGGTGGTGGGGCAGAGATACAATCTAGGGTCGTTGGGGGAAAGACAGAGAGAGGGAGCCCCCGCCTGCTTCCCTCTGCCAGGTGAGGCTGCTGGCAACTTGCCTCCACGGTATGCCCTCTGCCTACCGCCCCCCCACCCCCGCCCGCGCCTGCGCTCACTGGTGCTCGATCTGGAAGTTGAGGTGCCCACTGAACCAGTCATTGAAGAAGGACTGCTCCACGTTGCAGGTGGCTGCCAGCTGTGGGGAAGAAGGGTGTTGAATGGCTGGGAGCAGAAGCACAAAGGGACCCCTCTCCTTTTCACGAGGCCCAGCCTTCCCCGGGTCTCACTGCCCTGCCCCGATTTCCCACTGGTCCCTACAGAAGCTCCCGGCCACCCTCTCCTGCCCAGCTCTGGGCTTCCCAGTGGAAGGACACCGGCAGCCCCAGGGAAGGGCAGGACAGTGCCGGGCCTACTGGGCAGCCACGCTCCTGGGGACGTGGACCTGGGCTCCGTGGGCCGCCCCCCCGGCAGCCAGCGCTGGCCGTCCTCACCTGGCTGCTGAACCAGTCGCGGTAGGGCTCTCGGTCAATCTCCATGACGATGTGATTCATCTGTGTGACCCACACAAACCAGTGGCTCTCCAGGAACCTGAAAGGGAGCTCAGCTCAGCGTGCAGCCTGGTGGCTCAGTCTCCACAGGGTCCGGGGAATCGGTGGGAACCAAGTGTCCCTCCCGACCCCAAGCAGGGCAAGGCGGGTACAAGTGGAGGGGGTTGAGTGGAGCTCCTTGATGAGGGGCCCGGGCAGAAAGTGGGACTTCTGAGGCTTTCCTCGGGGGGGCCTCACATCAAACCCCCATCAGCACCAGTGCTCGGGGGCCAAGGGGCTAGTAGCCAGCAAAACTCAGGCACCTGATGAAGTTGAGGAAAAGGATGGATCCCAGGACACCATAGAAAGGGATGTAGGTGATGAAGAAACGGGTGTAGTAGCTGATGGCCCAGGCCAAGTCCTGCGGAGAGAAACGCAGTTAGACGTGGGAGTATCTCACCCTCCTGGGCATGGGGTCCCAACCACAGGTGTGCACACAGCAAGCCTGGCTCACTGCTGAGTGAAGGCGGCCAAGAAACCCTATGGGCCTCCAGGAAGCTGGACACCGGGTCCAGCTAAGGATCCGAGGCCTGCCAGAGGACGGTGTGTACGACAGTCTTTGTGTCTAGGAGAAGGCTGAGAGGTTTTAGCAACATGGAGGGGCTACAAGCTCTGCATTTAGGGAAATCCGCAGGGACGGGGACTAGCAGACACCGGGAGTTGGCAGCTCGTTCCTGGTCCTGGGGATTCTGAAGGTGCACCATAGTGTGCACACACCCCCGACACCCGTAGGCTCACAAACTGCTCATCGACCCCCAGAGGTCCTCACTCTAGCGCCACAAAGGCCAGGGACGCCGTCCATCACCCACCTCAGGACCCTCCCAGCAGCCTGACAGGGCTGGTCCTCTTCCCACCCGTGTCTCCAACCAGCCCCTCTTCCGTTCTGCACTCTCTTCCTGGGCAAGCACCCCCCACACCCCCCACCCCCCAGCTGCCTCCGTGGCTCTGAAACCATGGCAACCGGAGAGAACTGTCTTAGCTCCAAGCCCACTCTGTCCTCCTAAGCTAAGCCCTCCCATTCCACCCAGAGTAGCCACAGGGACTGGTGACCACTCTGCTCAGCCACCCTGCCCCAGCGCGTTCCCACCTCAGGGCCTTTGCACTGACTGTTTCAGCCCCCTAATCACTTCTCCCCAGACATTCGGCAGGGTAGCGGTCACAGCAAAGGCTCCTCCACCCTATTCTCTGTGTGTGCTGTCTCTCCAGTTGTGTCCGACTCTTGGCGACCCTATAGACTGAATAGCCCACCAGGCTTCTCTGTCCATGGGATTCACAGGCAAGAATACTGGCGTGGGTTGCCACGCCCTCCTCCAGGGGATCTTTAGGGCCCTGGGATCGAACCAGTGTCTGTCTCCTGCATTGGCAGGTGGGTCCTTTACCACTAGTGGCTATTCTGTGTAGCTTGTAACTTTCTGAGCTGTGCCTCTGGTCCTCCGTCTTCCGTATGGGAAAAGACTATCCCCCCGAGATTCTACAGGCCTGAAGGTGTGGCAACAAAAGCAGAGCTTGCAAGTCTGAGCTCTGACGACTCCGCTCTGGTCCTGGCACCAGTTGGCTGCCATAGAGACCTTCCTAACATGCAAGCTGGATCACGCCACTGCCATCCGCAAAGCCATCACGAGCCTCCTGCCCCGCTGGGGGATAAAGGACAAAATCCAGCCTCCCAGTAGGATGCACGGGTCCCTCACGTGCCTGTCCACCATCCTGGCCTTGCCTGCAGCCTGTCACGTCTCCCACGGCCCAGCCGTGCCGTGCTGTCTGTGTCTAGCTGGATCTGCCTGGAGGCTCCTTCTCCCCTTATCTGCTCAGCAAATTCATCCTTTACAGGAGCTCTGTTCAGTTAATCTCCACAAGCATGCAGTGAATACCTTCCCTGTGTCAGGGGCTGAGTTAGGTGCTGGAGGCAAACAGAAGTGCTTGAGAGCCCCTTGTCTGGAAGGACAGACTTTAGACGGAGATCCCTTCCATAGCATACGGAAGGGGAAACACAGTTACAGGGGTGACAGCAGCATGGCATGAGGTCCCGACCCTGTCCTGATTTAGAAAGACCCCCATCAGGAGGTGGTGCCTGAGACGGGCTGGGACACAGCAGAGGTTGGCCAAGCAAAGAACAGTAGGATGGATGTTTGCAGAAATGACAATGCATAGAAAAGTCCGATGAGGCGAGCAGGGAGGGGCTATTTTACATATAGATTATATGATCCACATACTCCAGCCCAAGCGCTCCAGGTCGGGGCAAGAGACCATGGCCAGGTCACATCCGCCTGGGGGAGACTGGCCTCTATCTTGGCAGCAAGGAAGAAGACCCACTATGCTTTAAATGACAAGAATGTGGTTCCATCTAAATCATAAAAATAGGTCCCTGCCAACTGGAGGTGAGGAGATTCGGTTATTCCAGGAGCTCAGGGATGAAATGAGGGAGGCCCAAACCAGGACCCCTGGCCCTGCCGAGGGGGCAACAGTCTCCAGGACTCTAGGAGGCAGGGGCAGTTCTGTGCAGAGACTGCTTGGTCATGGTGAACCTAGGCTGGTCCCGGGTGTCGGTGTCATTGGCTAGGGAGGAAAGGGGTGGGAAGAGTGGCTCGGAAGGGGTCTGAAGGGCCAGAAGTGAGTGGAGGGCAAGACCTCGGGATGGAGGTGGTCTTTAAGGGTGCGTGTGCGACTAACAAGTCCCTCAGTCATGTCTGACTCTTTGCGACCCCATGGCCTATAGCCCGCCAGGCTCCTCTGTCCATGGGATTCTCCAGGCAAGAATACTGGAGTGGGTTGCCATTCCCTTCTCCAGGGGACCTTCCCAACCCAGGGATCGAACCTGAGTCTTCCACATGGCAGGCAGATACTTTACTGTCTGAGCTACTAGGGAAGCCCTTAGCGGGTGGGGGAAGCCAATATTTTAAGTTCTGTTTCTACTTTTCATCACATTCATTTTAATTCCTTTTTTGTGTGCGCGCAGTGCAGTAGTATGTACACATATATTAATGGAGGCGTGTGCCTATTAACTGTGGTACAAAATGATGCATGACCATGGACCACTGGTGTCAGGGGTGAAGGGATAAAGGTGATAAGGGAGACAGAGGTGGAGGAGAACCAGTAGAGGCTGGACTTGGAAGCCGACAGGGAGAATTTCAAGAAGGAGCGGATCGTGGTGGGATCAGATGCAACCGACCTCCAGGAAGTTGAGGCCTGGGGACAGCTCCAGGATGTAGCCACTGGCAATGCTGGTTGGCCTTTGGAGCTGGACAGTTCTCAGCAGTGCAGGGGGGTGGGGGTTGGGGGAGCTGTCCCAGGCATGGCATGGTGCCCATTAGGTGCCAGGTACACTCCACCCCCGCTGAATTGTGACAATCAAAAATGTCACCCTGGACTTCCCTGGCGGCTTAAGTGGTTAAGACTCTGTGCTTTCAACGGCAGCGGGCCCGGGTTCGATCCCTAATCAGGGAACTAAGATCCTACATGCTGTGAGGTGTGGCCAAAAAAATCCCCCAATTCTCCCCAATATTGCCAGTGCCTCAACAGAATTCTTCCTACTGAGGACCACCACCCCAGGTCCCATCTGCACTTGGCACCTAAGCTCACAGTTACCATAAATCAGAAAATCACAGCACAGAGCATGCCTCTGTCACGCGGGCCTCTGAGGGGTGCCCCTGCATCTGGCGCTAAGCCTGGTTAGTCAGCTACTGCTGTGTACTAGAAGCCCAAAGTTGAACCCTACTCCCTGGCAAGAGAGCCCTGACCCCAGGTGCCCGATCAAATATCCCTGGCTGGGCCACCTGAGCCAGTTCAGGTATAAAGTCTGTTTCCCTTTCCTACTGTGCCTATTTCATGCTTTGTCCTTCAGGGAACACACACAGTGAAAAAAAAAGGGGGAGGATTAAATATTCATGTCAGGCGTCTGCCATAAAAGTAGATTAGAGTGTCCCGAGCAGCGCTGTCCTCTTCCACTATGAGGTGAGCCCTGGTGAAAACAACAGTCACCACAGGGGCAGGAGAGCTGGGTTCCAATTCCCACCCCCTCACTGACCCAGAAACTCCTTCTCTCCGGCCCGGATGCGCCTTAATGGCCAGACACAGCTTCCCTGATAGCTCAGCTGGTAAAGAATCCACCTGCAATGCAGGAAACCCTGGTTCGATTCCTGGGTCAGGAAGATCCACTGGAGAAGGGATAGGCTACCCATTCCAGTATTCTTGGGCTTCCCTTGTGGCTCAGCTGGTAAAGAATCTGCCTGCAATGCGGGAGACCTGGATTTGGTCCCTGGGTTGGGAAGATCCCTTGGAGAAGGGAAAGGCTACCCACTCCGGTCTTCTGGCCTGGAGAATTCCATGAACTGTATAATCCATGGAGCCGCAAAGAATCGGACATGACTGAGCGACTTTCACTGTGGGTGGCAGGGCCTAACTGTTCCTGAAGCACAGCGGGTACTGATGAAAGAGCATGCCCGACAAGCGTGGAGTACAGGTTTTACCAGCACAGGGCTGGCAGGGACTTCCAAATCCCTCCTCGTCCCCAAACACTCGCAACCTGCTTCTGAGTCCCAGGCTGGCCCTCTTAGCAGAATCAACAGGCACTTCTGCCAATAATACCCAGGGAAGCATGTAAGACAGAGTACTTTGAAGTCCTCCAATTGCTATACAAGCACGGGGACCTGTTACTGAGTGAGCAGTGTCTGGGGTGTGGGAGCGGGGTGAGTCCAGGCGGTGGCATTGGGGCGTTCTCATGCCTGATCCACCCCCTGGTGTCACCTTGGGCAAGCCCCAAACTCTCAGAGTTTCAGTATCTTCACTTATGAAATCGGGTTTTATAAAACAAAAAAAGACCAGCGATACCGACCAAGTGTCTGCTCGGTCTGAAAGGCAGAGGTCTTGTCTCTGTCCCAGTTGCAGTCCCAGTGAACCCTGTTCTGCCAAAAGCAGGTTCTGTCAAAAGCAGGTTCTGCCAAAAGCAGGTTCTGCCCAGGATGACCACTTCCCCCAAGGCCTCCCATCACGGGCACATCATTCTCTTCTGAGAACCACGCCTACGCATCTACATCAAGCCAAGGACTGTTCCTCTCGAGGGTCCCCGTCTCTCTCTGGAGTGATGGGCAGGATCGTGTCCCCTAAAATGACTCTTCATCCCCGGGACCTCACAATGGGACCTTATTTGGAGACAGTGTGCTTGCAGATGTCATGAGTGAAGATGCGGTCATGACGGAGGGCCCTAATCCATGACTGGTGTCCTAAGACAGAGGGGAAACAGGGAGGCAGAACCACCCACAGAGAAGATGTTGGCCATCCGCGAATCAGAAGCAGAGGCCAGCCCAGGCCACTTCTCACAGCCCCCAGAAGGGCCAGCCCTGCAGGCTCCTTGATCTTGGACTCTGGCCTCCAGAGTGTGAGACAATAAGACCCTGTTGTTTAACAGAAGTGCCACCCCGTGTGCGGCACGTTCTCACGCAGATTAGAAACTAAGTGCCAGGCTGCTCTCCATTTACCAACCGGAGAGCAGTGTGACCTGGACCACTGGGTCTAAGGGGCCTCACAGGGACTCAGGAGGGTGAGGGCTGGAGCCTTGGATGGTGTGACTGCGTGTGACTCATCACTCAGCCTTCAGCAACTTTCTGAGGGGGCTCCGCCAAGGCAGGGGCTCTCCCAGTGGACGCCCTGCATGGGGGGATCTTTCGGGCTGGGGTTCTACAGCTTCGCTGGCTCCTGCTGGCCTCAGAGCAAGTCCCTTCCTGAGGGTGACAAGGTAGTCACCCCAGGAGGAGATGCCGTGGGCTGCCCCAGGGTCGAGTCGCCCTCCTCCCCACGCTCCTGGGTCCCCTGGACTCACCACCCAGTCCTTGCGAATGATCATGGTCATGATGATCTGGTACTGGAAGTACAAAGGGATGAGCAGCGGCGGCCCAACTGCGACAGAGAGAGAGAGAGAGAGAGAGAGAGAGAGAGGAGAGGGGCTTGGAGCGACCTCTTCCACCTGGCGGGGCTGGAAGATGGGGAGGAACTGGGAGGGCAGAAGCCAGGATGTGGTGCCAGCTCTGTAGCTCCCGGGCAGAGGAGACTAGAACCTTGGCACTCTGAGAAGGGGGCTGGAAGTACCCGCTGGCACCCTGCCCAGGAAGCCCGAGTGTTGGCATCCGGGTGTCTGGGCCAGTGTCCCTTCTGTGTAGCACGGGCCAGGATGGGTTTGTGGCTGTTGCTGCTCTGACAGCTTTGGTGTCACTTTCTGGGTCTGGAAGGGTGTCGGGTGGGAGCGGGGATGGACGGCCACACTGGGAAGGCGGTCGGGGTGTGGTTGTGGGGCGCCCCGGCACTCACTCAGGAAGAAGTACTCATGCTGGTGGTTGTAAGGCAGGTATTTCAGCTTCTTCTTGCCGTACTGAGGAGAGAAGCAGAGACTGTGAGCCTCCAGGGCCCCTCGGACCCCCGCCTCCCATGCTCTCCTCCACCCGCTCTGCCGTCCCTGCTCCTTCCTCCCGCCCAGGGGGGCTTTCTGTCCCTCTGCACCCTGGGCCCCTCTGGGCTCCCGGTTGCTCCAGTCAACACTTCCTCAGCCTTTGCTGGGCGCACCGATCCCAAGCTGGCCTCTCAGCTCAGGCGCTCCTCTGGAAGCTAGTGCTTCCAGAGCTGAAGCTCGGGGTCAAGTCACTGCCCACGGCCACACAAGAAGTGGGCTGGCCGGGATCTGAACCCAAGAAAGCGGACTCAGAGCCCATGAGACAGGCAGCAAATAAATATTTGTTGAATGAATGCACCATGGAACAAGGAACTGGGGTTGCGGGGGAGTGTGCAGAGGCACTCAGAGGGAGCTCCTTGGCCAGCTTGCACCCCTTTGGAGAGAGAAAAGCCCCTGGGTCCCCTTGAGGAGCTCCCTGGAGCCCTCAGTGGCTGGGAGAACCCAGGTAAGGGCTCGGGAAATTGTTACCAGTTACAAGGTTGAGCCTCTAGTCCCTTGAGCCGCCTGCAATTTCCAGGCTGAGGCTTACCACTTGAGGTTCCAGGCCAGAGGGGATTACCACAGGGACTCTTCAGGACACACCTGGTCACCTGGTCTTACCCCGGGCACTCTGATGCCCAGGCATGCCAGTCAGGAGGGCTGAGAGGTCTGGCTGGGGTGTGGACATCCTCAGTGTACCAAGCGAGTGTGATCCAGGATGGGGGTGGGAGCGGGGAGACCCACAGCCCCACAGGGTCCCTGCAAGCCCCTTAATTCCAAAGTCCAGCCCCCCGAGGACCAGCCCACCCTGTTCCTTGGGGAATGAGACCAGAAGATGCCACCCACAGAGGGGGACCTGCTCTTGCCTGCAATGCAGGGGGACTGTTCAGGGAGCCCAGGCTTGGGCTCTGCCTCTCACCAGCTGAGACTGTACAGGTCACTTAGCCTGCCTGAGCCCTGCTTGGCATCCAGTTAAGAGGAGTCAGTGAGAACACGGGCATAAATGCCAGGGGCTGACCCCTGGGACATGGCTCTTTACTTGCCCGGCTCTTTACTTGCCCGCCACCTCCCGCCGCCCCCAGGTCCAAAGGTCAGTGCCATCCTCATCACATGATGTCCACTCCTGCTTATTGCAGCTAGGAGAGCAAAGCATGTTACAGAGGGAGAAACCCGGATGTCCTCTTGGCCAATGCTCCCGTTCTCCAGGCACGGGATGGAGTGCGTGCCAGCATCACAGGGAGGGCCCACGGAGGAGCCCTGGGTGAAAGCAGAGCTAAGTCTGTCCCCAGGGCATTCATCTTGGTACCAGTGACCACAGGGCTGGCACACCCCGCTGAAGCACCGCCAGAATCTGTTTGGTCCGTGTGGCCTCCTGTGCCTTGGCAGGGGTCTCCCCCAAACCCCAGAATGCACGAATCCTTTGCACGAAGGCTGTCGTTAAGGCTGAGGCTGGTTGTCCAGTGGTTACGAATCTACCTGCCAATGCCGGGGACGTGGGTTCAATCCCTGGTCGGAGAACTAAGATCCCACATGCATCAGGGCAACTAAGCCTGTGTGCCATAACTACTGAAGCCCATGTGCCTAGAGCCCTCAAGCAGCAACAAGAGAAGTCACCACAATGAGAAGCCCTTGCACCCCAAACAGAGAGGAGCCCCTGCTCACTGCAACTAGAGAAAGCCCGTGCGCTGCAATAAAGATCCAGCACCGCCAAATAAACAAAATTTAAAAGCTCTTGCCTACTGATTGTCAGTTGGGAGGAGTCAGCCTTTGGACACGAGTCTACCCTCTGCACCCCAGCCCCTATGCTGCCAGCCTCTGAAATAAAGGGAACTTTTCTTTCTACCAATCTTTCCTCTTATATATATTTTTAAAAAAAAGATCGAGGCAGGCCCTGGAGAGATCCCAATCAGGGCACCCCAGACACAGTCCTGGACAACGTTGCAGGGGAGGGAGGGATTAGAGGCACCCTGCTAATCTGAGTGGTCTGGTGGTCTGGGTTCTGGGGAGTGTGTGCTTCACAGAACAGTCCCCCTGCTCCCTCCCAGAAGCCAGGAAACAGGCCCAGACTTTGCAGGCTTCTCCAGCCCTGATAGGTGCCCTCCTCACCATACCTCTGCCCCACAGGTCGTCCCAAGGGACAGCCCCAGGCCCAGAGGAACCTCAGGCTGGCCCAGCTCTATTCTGGGAGTGAGCACTAGGGGCAGGATAGGCTGGCAGAGGGTCCCCACAGAGGGACTCGGCAGTGGGCACCCCGGGAAGCTGGTTTGAAGCTGCATTTGCACAGCGAGCACCCTGTCTGCAGTGATCCCTGGTGCCCTGTAGGGGGTGACAGGAGATTACTGGGCTGATGCTCCCTGGCTAGTGCTCCCTGGCCAGTCAGTATTGCCAGCTCCTGCGTGCATCCCTTCAAGGGCCTAGACTGCCCTGTGGGAGCTGCCATGTCACTGCCCCCAGGCAGCAGCTGGTCCCTCTGCCCACCCCCGAGGGCTCCAGCTTTGCGGTGGGGGGTTCCAGATTTGGAAGCAATTTGTTATCTGAGCAAATTGCTTTGCAGCCCCCCTTCCCCTGCCATGAGATTTGGGTTTGTTATGGGTACTCCCTAGATCTGTTGAGGGCCGGTGGATGATGGGGCGATGAAAGCCCTTCAGGACTAAAGAAGGCAGGTCACGGCTACACAGGCACCTGTGTGCCGCGATACACGGACCGTCACAGGGCATCTGATCCCATCCGGATGACCTCAGCGAGGGGGACTGCAAGATCGCCTGTCAGTGTGAGGCTGACCCAGGGCGCTAGCTTCTCCTCTGAAAACCAGCAAGCACAGCAGGGATTCGGGGATGCCAAGTCAGGTGTGGGCCCAACCTGGTTTCTTGACTTTCCCATGCTCAGCTCTCTGCAGCCCTCGGTTGTCTGCCATGGGTGCAGGGAAGGGAGGGGAGAGGTGTCTTGGGATAAGAAACCCTCAGAGGAGGGGCTCTTGGCTTCTTAATATGTCAGGAAGCTGGAGGGATCCAAGAAACACAGGCCCCTAGCGTCCAGCAGGTGGTGGCCCCGGGCAGGGCCCTGCAGGACCTGGAAGCCCTGGCTGCGAGTCATTCAGCCAGGGTTTGGATTGTGGCACTCACTGCCTTTTCTAGCTGTAGCCTTGAGCTAGTTATTTCACCTCTCTGAGCCTCAGCTGTCCCATCTATAAAATGGGCTGGATGAGAGCTCCTGCCTCATGGTTAAGCAAGGATTAAGTGACGCCCCACATGTGGTGCTCAGCATGGTGCGGGGCCCAGGGACTAAGCAAAATCAGCCTCCCCCTCCACGGGGGCCCGCAGGCCCTGGAGGGGAGCCTGTAATCCTCTCCCCTGCAGGAGAGTCCTCATCACACGCGAAGAAAGCCTGGGCTCTGGGGCGGTCACAGGGGAGCTATGCAGACTCAAACTGTAGGCGAGGCTCCGGGTAGTTTGTCGTGTCCAGACCCCGAGGCGCAGCGGCACATGCAGGACCCGCTTTTACGTGTCCTCAAGCTGAGGCTGAAAGGGACGCAGGTCAGAGGCAGCGGCAGGGGGAACCCTGGTGGCCTGGCTTCCGGGAGGCCCACGACCCTGGGGGCCTGGCCAGCTGACACCCCAGTGCTCCTCCTCTCCACGAACCACGAGGCCCGACTTGGATTACGGGCTGGTGGGGGGGTGCCAGGGGCATGTACAGGGGACTTTTCAGGCTTGGAACAAAATATCTGAGCAACAAGGGCCTGCCTTGTCCGTTCAGGGTTGGGGGAGGGGGGCAGCTGGAGAGCCCTGCCTGCCTCTGGGAAAGTGCAGACTCACAGGCAGAGAAACACTCACAGAGCCGGCCCCGGCAGGCATGCGAGGAATGGCAAGACTCCAGCCCAAGGGCCCCGGCTGCTCCAAGGGAATACTTGGCCTATTCGCAAAGGTAATCTGGAGGGTCAACTGCTGACAGGCCATGGGGCAGGGAGAGCCTCCCATGGGGTCTGAAAAGCAGGCTCTCAGACTCAGAGGCAGGCGGAAACACTCCTGGCTTCTGAGAATCCACTTACAGAGATCCAAAAAAAAAAAAAGTGGGCGGCAGGGAGCAAAAACAAGACTACCCCTGACATCACCACTATTCAATTCTGTTCTGAAGTTCTAGTAACGTCGTAAAGCCTAAACCAGAAATAAGAGTGGAGAGCTATTAGAAAGTGTCTAAATTTTCACTATTTTCCAAAAATATGATTGTCGACTCAGGAAATTCAAAAGAATCAACTGAAAAACAACTAGAATCACAAGCAGACGTCAGTGGACCCTAGTTGGACATAAGATAACTAGCCAAATGGCAACAGTTTTCTTGAATACCACAGAAACCCCTATACAAAATATAGACGTTATCTAGGATTCAGTTGAAAGAAATGTGGCCACAAGACATATAAAGAAGAGGAAAAGCTTTCTAAGAGGTATAAAAAAGAGGCTCAAGTGTAAATGGAGAAAGATATCGTATTTCTGGATGGAAATGATGTAAATTTTTTCTGGAAGGGGCAAGTCAGTCCACGACAAGCTCTTAGTGAGTTAGAAGGAGCCACGGATGCCCAAGTCACCCAGACAGTGTCTTGCACTGATGCTCAGTCCAGACCAGGCGCTGGGCTTCAGGAGAGGACACCTCACCCCTAAGCAGGTGCAACGTGACCCGGGAAGGGGAAACCAGAAAAACTGACTGATTCCTGCAAGTTATGGACGTAGACCATCATCTTAGCCAAGCCTCATGTGGCCAAAGTAAAGCCTTCAAAAGTGAACCAAGGGACTTCCCTGGTGGTCCAGTGGTTATGACTCTGCGCTTCCACTGTGGGGGGCATGAGTTTGATCTCTGGTTGGGGAACTAAGATCCCACCTGCCACAGGGCCAAAAAAAAGTGAAACCATAAAGCACTGAAAATATATGAAGAACTTTCTAAGCATAAAAGAAAGGTTCTGGGACTTGCCTGTGGTCCAGTGGTTAATACTTCTCCTTTTAATGCAGGGGGTGTGGGCTTGATTCCTGGTCGGGGAACTAAGGTCGCACAGGCCTCATGGCCAAAAAATAAAAATAAAACAGAAGCAATATTGTAACAAATTCAATAAAGACTTTAAAAAACGGCCCACATTCTTAAAAAAAAAAGAAATCTTAGAAAAGTGAAACCATAAAACACTAAAAATCTGTTAAATACTTCCTAAGCGTAAAATAAAGATTCCTTCCAAGCAGCATGGTCCTGGCAACACCAGGAATCCAGGAACAGCTGGCCTCTTCCCGAGTATGTGAGAGAGCGTTTCACAGGGCACTATGGTCATGGTCTTAATGTCAATGGCAACGGGATGGCCAGATCCCCCAAACTTCCACTGCACGTCCCAAAAGTCAGCACTTGAGAGGCGTCCAGGGAGAGATGTTGGAAGGAGTTTCACAGCTACCACACAGAAAGAGACACCTTGGCAGCATCGCTGGTGAGACTAGGTTTTATTGTCAGAAACACAGAGACTACTTGTCAAGCCAGTCAACAGCTCTATGACATGAAGCCTCCCCGCCTAGAAAGCAAAGACTTTGTCTTTTTATCACATGGACTCCACTTAATCAGTCCTACTAATCTAGACACCTCAAATCAAAGCGAGCAAACTCGTCCCGAGAAGGAAAATGCAAGCATGTATTTTGGCAAAGAAAATCCTCGCACTTGAGAAGACTCGTTAGAGTCCCCTGGACTGCAAGATCAAACCAGTCAATCCTAAAGAAAATCAACCCTGAATATTCATTGGAAGGACTGATGCTGAAGCTGAAGCTCCAATACTGATGTGAAGCCACCTGATATGAAGAGCTGACTCATTGAAAAAGACTCTGATGCTGAGAAAGATTGAAGACAAAGGGGGATAGCAGAGGATGAGATGGTTAGGTAGCATCACTGACTCAATGGACATGAGTCTGAGCAGACTCCGGGAGACAGTGAAGTACAGGGAAACCTGGCGTGCTGCACTCCATGGGGTTGCAAAGAGTTGGACATGACTTAGCAACTGAACAACAACAACAAAGTCCCTGGCAAGCCAGAGAGGCTCCACATGTCCAAAGAGCCAAATTTTGGCTAATTTCCTCTGAACTGACAATGTCACAGAAAACTTATGTTTCTGCTCAAATATTCTGTTGGGCAGATATGAGACGGGAGGAGTGGGGTACCAACCAGAGTTGAGGAAACAGTCTCCCTCCTCTTCCTCTTTGAAGTCTTGGATGCCAACATTGCTGGGAATACAACCAGTTCAAGACACTGCTCCTTATGGAGGGTAAAAGTGCCTCTCTTGGCAAATGCTTATCAGGCCCCTACTCTCTGCACAGTTTGGTCACACTTAAGATCTACATAAAAGCAACAGGGATCTTTTAAACTTTGGTTTACATCATCAATGTATTTCAGAAAAGTAAAGCTTCTATAACTTTTTTTTTTTTCACCTAGAAGCTCTACTTAAAAAAAAAAAAATTAAATGAGGAGAGTCTTTAAATCCTTTAAAAGCATTGGGCATGGCTTTATTCAAAGACTCAGCAACACCAAATTTTCCTGCCTTAGAAACACAACAGAGCACTGGACAGCCCCAAATGGAGGCTAATGCACTTGGACTCCAGCAAATTTGGACTCACCACATTTGGTGAAGAAGCCAGTTGCAGGAAAACTATCTAAGTTTGAATTTTTGTTTTTAAAAAAGATATGTGTGTCTATGTTTCTTCACACATAGAAAATACCTGGAAGGATTAGAGAATGCTGTCAATAGTGGTCACCAATGTTGACACCAACAGTGGTCACCAGTGTCAGGGGCATGACAACAGGAGGCACAGCAGGGATGGGAGAGAGAACAGGCGACTTGCTTCTCAGTCTGGTCAATTACTGTTACTACTTAAATGCTTACAACAGGTATGTCTATACTTATAATAAAAAATAAACTAATATAAAACCAAGGCAGGGATTTTCCTGGTGTCCGGGGGTTGGGAACCTACCTACCTGCCAATGCAAGGGACATGGGTTTGATCCCTGGTCTGGGAAGGGACCCACACGCCATGGAGCAACTAAGCCCACATGCTAAAACTACTGAGCCCATGTGCTGTAACTACTGAAGCCCGAGTTCTACAGCCCATGCTCCACAACAAGAGGAGCCACCACATTGAGAAGTCCTTCTACCACAACTAGAGAGTAAGCCCCCATCACCAGAACTAGAGAAAACCAGTGTGCACCAACAAAGACCCAACACAACCAAAAATTAAAAAAAAAAAAAAAAAAGACTTTGCCTCCCAGTGTAGGGGGTGAAGTTTCGATCCCTGGTCCAGGAGCTAAGATTCCAGATGCTTTGTGGCCAAAAAACAAAAACATAAAAAACAGAAATGATATTCTAACAAATAAAGACTGTAAAAATGGCCCACATTAAAAATATATATTAAATTAGTTAATTAAATAAATAAAATAAAGACAAGGCAGTGTGATGGAGTGGAAGGAAATGGCTCAGTTGTCAGATCTGGGGCCTCATCCTAGAATGGCCACTAAATGATGTAACCCTGACCACATGCCCTCCTCCTGCTGATCTTCACTTGGCATCCGTGGTGAAGCAGATGGAACCAGACCCTGTGAAGGTCCCTCCAGCATCAGGGACTGTGACTCTCCAAGTAAGTTTTCCTGGAGCTGGTCTTTGGGAACCAAGCATGAGCCTTGGAGTTGTGCCTTCCTGCCAAACTGTAAGGAACAAGCTAGGAAATGCTCTTCCCCAGCCCATGGGCATCAAGGAGGTATCTAACACTCTGATAAGGAGCTGCCTTTGTTTTTTAGGAGGCCATTCCATAGAAATTCCAGCTGGAATGACTCAGGGTGTCCAGGAAAGGTTTCTGTGTAAATATCAGACACAGGTGTCTGTCTGACTCTCCACCCTGCCCTCCCCTGATTCCTGCGCAAGCCAAACACTCCCGTGGCTACCCTGTCCCCTTCATCCGTACCTCGATGGGCTGCGATTCGCCCAGGACAAACACATGCAGCATGTTCACATCGGGATCCTTGTGGAAGATGTTGGGTTTGGCATGGTGCTGGAAGTGGCGGTGGTTCCACCAGTTGGCAGAGGCACCCTGTCAGGGGAGGAATAGCGATGAGCAGGGCAATCCTGGCAGCAGGGGCGGGGGAGCCCAGGACCCGCACGTCTTGGGACCAGATCCTAGCAGGTCCGATACTCAGGTCCCAAAAGTCAGAAACTGACTCTGCAAGTGCTGGGTCCAGAGTGCTGGGCAGCCCCTTGGACAGGACTTCTGCATGGAGCCAGTTTATGCCACCCCTCCACCCTGATCATAAGATGGTGCTGGTGATGGATGGAGAGGCAAGCACTTCAGCACACGTTGGGGGGCCTCAGCTGTCCACCAGTCCCAGGGGGGAGGCCAACACCCCTCATCCTCTGCTTGTCTCTCATTTGTGCCTGTTGTGCAGAGGGGAACACTTCCATTTGGGGAACAGTAAGAAGTGTTCCCTTACCATATGGACCCAGCACTGTGCCCTTAGGTATGTGTACCCAAAAGAAATGAAAACATGGCCACACAAAAACTTGTACACAAACATTCCTAGCAGGATTATTTAAAATAACCAAAGCTCATGCCCTGAAGAAGGGATAAACACTATGTGGCAGACCCAAATGGAATCTTGTTTGGCCATGCCATGAAAAGGTGTGACGTACTGACACACACTACAGTATGGATGAACCTGAAAAGTACGACGCTAAGTGAAAGAAACCAGCCTCAAAGGAGTCTATTTACAATGTCCTGAGATTCCATTTACATGAAATGTCCAGCATGGGGGAAATCCATGGACAGAAAGACGAGTGGTTACCTAGTTCCAGGGTTGGGATGAGGGGTTTGGAAGTGACGGCTAAGTGGTGTGGGGTTTCTTTTCAGGGTGATGAAGATGTTCCAAAACTGACTGGGATGGAGGGTGCACAAATCTGTGAATATACTACAAGTCATGGATTTGCACACGTAAATGGGCAAACTGTAGAGCTTGTGAATTAGATCAAGAAAGCTTAAAAAAAAAAAAAAATGAAGACCACAAATGGCTCCTGCTTTCAGAGGGCCCAGAGAGTAGCTGGCAAGAGACAGCCCCACAGCCAGAGGGGCCACTGCACTGAGAGGTGACCGCTGAGTCATGTGGGTGTCACACCATGTCCAAACGGCTTGGGGGAGCTTAATAAACAATCACCAACACAAGCAGGTAAGAGCTTTCTGCTTCCAACAGGCAAATGATAATCCCAGGTAACTCCCTGGCAGTCCAGGGATTAGAGTTCCAAGCTTTTACCACAGAGGGCCAGCTTCAGTTCCTGGTCAGGGAACTAAGATCCCACATGCTGCACAATGTGGCCAAAAATAACAAAAAATTATAATAAAAGTCATAATAAAATTACAACTCTAGGAGACAAGACGCATTACATGAGTATTTCTTTCAAGGCCACGAATTTCTGTCTCACCAGCTCCAACTCCAGATGTATTTTGAGGGCATGTCCCTCCATGGAGTCACCCAGTCATACAAAGAAGGAAACAAAACCCTCTGACTCGTCAGCCTGAGGGTTTCATGGGTGAGCAGCTGCTGAATCAATCAATGCTTTGGCCTAGGGTTTGGCCATCTACAAAAAGGCCTAATTGCAAAAACAAACATTTTACTTGGAAGATGTTTGGGTACAAACGTAGTCCCTGGACCCTAAGGGCCAAGGGCGGGAACAGCTCTGAGCAGCTGTGGCCTTTGCAATGACCTCAGGTCTCTGGGCCTCCAAACCCAACAGAGCAAAAATAAAAAATAACAGCAAATGAGAGCTTAGAGGATTGGAAAATGAGATGATACATTGGTCTTTCTAGCCAAAAGAAGCCAAGTTCCTGGGAAAAGCACAATGGAGTCCATGGTACAAAGGAATTAAGGAGCAAGGTATGTGAAACATGAGGTTTAGAATATACCAACCAAGAGATGTTTGTTGAATGAATAACTGGAGGAAAGAAAGAGGGGCTGTGAGCACCTTAAGGATGAGATGTGGCAAGGTGGGGCCACCCCCGAACTTGGCATGGGGTGCAACGATGAAGTAGCTTTTGATGGTGCTCTTCTCTGCTGATTCTCTTCCATTCTTCTTCACTAGGCCCAACTTTACATACCATTCCTGGGACACGGCAGCCCTGCCTGCCTTGGAGCCATGATTCAATGATGCCTGTCCCGGGGATGGAGCAGGGAAGGAGGCCGGCCCTTGTCTACCAAGGGAGAGTAGGCCTCCCTCCACACTGGGGTAGGGGGTCCTCACTCCACATGGGTAGGGGGCCTCACTCCACACTGGGGTGCTTCACCCCACACTGGGGTTGGGTGGGTCTCACTCCACAGTGGAATGTGCTGACAGAGCTGTAAAAGCTTTGGGAGGCCACTCAGAAGGTCTGCCCCTGGGCAGCATACTGGGTAGGAGGGGGCAGACAGAGTGAGGGTCCCTTTTCTGACAGAGGTGGGGTGACGGCCTTGGGGGAAGGGGAGCGTGAGCTGTCACAGAGGAGAGAAAGCCTCCTTGGTTGGTGCCAGCAAGGGTGGGCAGAGCCATAGTAGAGCCTCATTAACAATATTTTCAAAAATCTATCACCCTTTTGCTCATCTTGTTTTGAAACGAGAGAACTGCCGAGTTTGACGATCTCTCTCAACCAAGCAACAGTCAAGTAATTTTTAATTAAATTAAGTTGAAGTAAAATAATAATAAATTTGGTTTCAGTATAAATAATAAACTTAAACTTCATCTTGGGGCTTTTTATATACCACCTTTCCAAATTTTAAGTAGCTTTCAACTACTTTAACTCTCTGGTGAACGAAATGCAACCAGTTTAAAAAAAAAGAGAGAGAACACATAAAAACATGTATGTAAGATACAAGTTGTCCTTCGGTTTCATATTCCAATAAGTCTCAAAGTCCTAATATTTATTTAAAATGTTGGTATTTTGTTCATTGTGGATTTTTTTTTTTTTTGCATTAATTTTACTTAGACAAAAAAAAAAAAAAAAATTGCATGGCAGCCTGGATAGGAGGGGAACTTTGGGGAAGAATGGATACATGTATATGTATGGCTGAGTCCCTCTGCTGTCCATCTGAAACTATCACAACATTGTTAATCAGATTATACCCCAATATAAAATTTAAAAGCTTTTAAAATATTGCATTAAAATGCTACTTATTTCATTCCTGATTCTTTTTGTCATCGCTTAAATTTTGTGTTCCTGGGACACACTTGTGTGCTCACTTGCCTCACCTTAGTCCCAGCCCTGGTGACCCCAGATAAGGCTGAGGAAAGACTTGTGGGTTCCAAAGATTTCCATTTCCAGATGCAGTCTAGATGGTGCCAGGCCTGGCGGTTTGCATTTTATCCTGAGTGCAATGCCAAATAGATGCTCACCCTCACAGAACCATGTCTGTACAAGGTTAACCCCAGGAAGAAATGGCCACCGGAAGTGACATGGGGAGAAATGGCCGCCGGAAGTGATGGGGACCAAAGGAAAAGGCATAGTCGAGAGGTGGAGGGCTCACCCGGGGAATCCCACGGCAGCTTGGGCTGGCATTAAGAAGTGGGTCCCAGCACCCTGAAGCTCCCAGCACCCCGAAGCTCCCAGCACCCCGTTCAGGGCCCTCAGTGGGCTGAGCTAAGATGTCCAAGTTGGTGGGGTCCTTGAAGACTATGATAGGACCATGTGCCCACCACGTGCCAGAGTGATGCCGTGAAAGCCAGAATGCTCCTCGCTCTGGGGCACCCCTGACTGAGCTGCCCAGTTATGCCACTGGCTTGGACACAGCACGCAGGACACAGCTAGCAAGGAGCTGGCAAGCCATCAGCAGAACCCAGGGCCCTGACCTCCTAGAACCTTCCAGCCCGAGTACCCCGTCACTCCAGATTTCACAAATCAACGTTCTACAAGAAGGCCAGTCCCCTGTCCCGACCTCATCTTCTAACACAAGAGCTGTGTCCCAGAGCCCTTCAAGGTTACACAGACATCAGGAGGGACAGGCCCTCCCGGCTCCCACCCAGAATCTGGAAACAGGACAAAGTTCATCTTTGTTAAGTGTGTAGGGATAACCTGGGTCTGGAGTGAAATGTTACTCTCAACACCGAGGAGGGTTTTCTCCAACAGAAAAGGGAATAAAATGAAACAAATCCCTCTACTATGTGCATCCTTCACCCCTGAAGTTCTGGAAAGAAACCAGGTTCTCAGACAGCTCCAGGCTCAGGGCCAGGCAAACTGCTTACTAAGAAACTGGTTACCAGTTCAGTGGTGATTCACTCCCAACCAGACCCTGAGTGGACAAGTGAAAGACTGGATGTTGTTGGGTCGCAGGGGTTGACATTAACCCAGACACGTAGCTTTTCCCAAGCCAAGGTAGGGAAGGACAGGAGTCTTTGCAGCTAGATGCTGCTGGGGTAGTGCGGGGCAGGAGGATGAGAATCTGTTTCAAAGGGAGACTTGGCAAGGACTTATTTCCAAAACCAAAGAGATAATGCCTATCACATGAACACAAGGTCGCTGGCAAGTCCAGTTGAGCTTTGTACAAACTTGCCAAGCTACAAGGCTGTTGCAGGTCTGCCTCCTGATCTGTAGGGTGATGAGACAGCTACCTGCCCTTCTGGGTTTTACACAACTCTTGCCCTTTGGCTCAGTACACTGTTTGAAGTCTCTTATCTAAAGACTTAAGAGAAACACGAGGTCTCAGATATAAAACATCACCTGATGGAGGGAGCATACCGATGTATCAAGAGAGATTGCTTCTTCAGATGCAAACTATTATATATGGAATGAATAAACAGCAAGGACCTACTGTGTAGCACAGGGAACTGTATTCATTATCCATAATGGAAAAGAATATGAAAAAGGAATGCAGGAATGTGTATATGCTTGCGTGCTAAGTTGCTCAGTCATGCCCGACTCTCTGTGACCCTATGGACTGTAGCCCACCAGGCTCCTCCTTCTGTCCAGGGCATTCTCCAAGCAAGAATGCTGGAGTGGGTTCCCTTTTCCTTCTTCAGGGGATCTTCCTGAACCAGGGATCAAACCCTCGTCTCTTACATCTCCTGCATAGGCAGGCGGATTCTTTACCGCTAGTGCCACCAGGGAAGCCCACCAAGGAAGCCCACATATAACTAAATCACTTTGCTATACAGCAGAAATTAACAGAACATCGTAAACCAATTCTGCTTTAATTAAAAAAAAAAAAGTGAGAGAGACTGCTTCTTTACTGGTTCCAAACTGAAAGGAATTTATCAGTAAGTCCTTAGGTAAGGAACAAATATAATCAACTAAGAAGCATGTGCCTGTTTGCAGAACAACTACCCTAGTTTTGTGTGTCTAGTGTGGTTAGGAGACAGGCCTTGGAAGCTCAGAGAAGCAGAGGGTTGGCAAGTCCTGCAGCTCACCCAGGACACTGACCGGAGCGGTGACCTGGTCCAAGATGGCAGTGTGCCCACCACTAATTGATGGAATGGATGCCCAGGGTGGCCAACATTTACCTTTAAGTGACCGATGACAAACTTGTGGACGATGTGGTTCCACATGGACTTCTTGTAAACAGAGAGGTGGCCGTAATCGTGTTGCAGCCATCCAGCCTGGGCCTGGGGAGAGAGGGCCACAGAGACTTTCAGAGCGTCGGCACCTAGGCACCAGGCCTCTGCCAGCTGGGGGAGGCAGGGGGCGGGGGCTTCAAGTGACAGGTGAGGATGTCACGCCTCACCTGAGAGGTAGCAAGGACGAAGGCCGTAATGATGGTTGGAATCCAGCCATTGCCAAAGTAGAAGATAGTGAACCAGGCGATGCTCTCCATGGCGATGATGTGGGCCAGGTGAAGAAGGAAGAAGAGCTGGTTGCTCTTGAACAGGTTCATGTCCTCAGCGGTCTTCCTCAGGGCCCGGAAGTCCTCAGTGATCTGGGACTGTTGAGCCAGAGCACGAGGAAGGAGTCAACCGCCCAGCTGCTCCAGGGGGGACCAATCCACACACCCAAGCCCCAGAGGAGCCCAGTTGCTATGCACTATAACGGCTGCTGTTGCTCTGTACCTGCCTGGACCTGGCACAGCCTTGGAACTATGTGTTTGCCCACAGCCAGTTCAGTGGCAGAGAAAGGATTTCACTCAAAGTGCTATCCATTTTGTGTAGCGGCATTATTCAAGATAGGCCAAAGACAGAAACAACCCAAATTCTATTAATGGAGGAAGGGCTGAATAAAATATGGTGCATACATACAATGGAATATTACACAGCCTTCAAAAGGGAGGGAAATGATGACACATACTGCTAATGAGCAAACCCTGAAGACATTAAGCTAAGTGAAATTAAGCCAGACATGAAAAGACAAATATTTATGAGTCCCCTTCTATGATGTATCTAGAAGAGATTCTTCAGTGGAAAGAATAGCGTTTACCAGGAGCTGTTGGGAGGGACAGATGGGTAGTTAATGTTTATTGGAAACAGAATCTCAGTGTGGGGTGATGACAAAGTTCTAGAGACAGATGGTGGCGATGGTTGCACAACAGTGTGAATGTACTCAAAGCCACTGAATTGTGTATTTCCAGAGAGTTAAAATGGGGAATTCCCTGGTTGCCTAGTGGTCGGGATTCCACCCTTTCACTGCTAAGGGCCCCGATTCAGTCTCTGGTAAAGGAAGTGAGATCCTTGCAAGCTGCCCAGCACAGCCAAAATAAAATAAATATTTAAAATAAATATTTTATTTAAGAAAGGTTAAAATGGTAAATTTTATTATGTCTATTTTACACCATTTTTTTCTTTTTTAAAAAGTTTTGGGACTTCCCTGGAGGTCCACTGATTAAGACCATGCTTCCACTGCTGGGGATGTTGGTTCGATCCCTGGTCAGAGGAGCTAAGATCCCACATGTGGTGTGGCCAAATACATGAACTAAATTAAATGATAAAGAAGCTTATGTTTCCCACTACCTGACGTGCACCCCTTGTTCTGAACATTCTATCAGACAGGAGAAGGCTCCGTGCGCTGGGCACACGGGAAGCAGAGTCAAGGGTGAGTCTGGGAAAGAGGGTATCACTGGGAGAAAGAGGGAAGCTAGGAGGCAGGGGCAGGGCATGAGCGGGAAGAAAGCCCAGATATAAGGGCAAGTGACTGGGGAAGAGAGAAACCCTCTGTGCCCAGCCTGGCGCCACTGAGGCCCCAGAGGTAGAGAGGCTAGGAATGAATTACTCCAAGGGCAGGGGTGGGGGGCAAGCCTAAGCTGGCACAGGAGGAGGAGGGCTCACCAGGGCCAGGGGAGTCCTCCCTGACCCCAGGTGATGAGCAGTGGTTCTCCCTGGGCAGGCACAAAGGCTCCTACCCCGTACCCTACGCTCACCATTTTGGGGCGATCCCCTCCCCTTCTTCCTCATCTGGTCAGACTCACATTCTTGCCGCGGTCCTGGCTGGGCTCCTCAGGGGCCAGCTCGCCAATCAACAGGGGCTTCATGAACTTGCGCACAAAATCAAGGTTGCGGTGGAAGGCCAGGAAGGCGTCCTGGAGAGCAGGGGGCAGGTGGTGAGTACCTCTACCCCGGCTCCGGCCAGCGCCTCCACCCCAGGGAGGGCAGGGCTTGCCAGCAGAAGCTCTGTGCCACTAGGACAGCAGGACCCCAAATGGGGCATCCATGATCCGACCCCAAGTGTTCTCTGAGCCTCCTCCTGGCAGGTCCCTCGGCGCCGGACTCCCATGGAGATGCCACTTGCAGCTGCACCGTGATGAGGGGCCGCTGAGCTCACCAAGGATGTTTACCAAAAAATGTGCCCCTCCAGGGATGTGGGCTGGGCAGGGCTGGGAACCAAATTCTCTGAGGGCTACACTGCCACCCACCACGCAGCGCACACAGCTGTCAGCAAAGAACAAGCCTGGAACGTACCACAGGTATGCAAAATATGCTTAGATGATGCTATACCCAAAACAGATACACGATTACATAAACGCATTGGTGGGAGGAGCTCTTTCATATTTTGAAAAGGTATGAAAATAATTATGAAGATTATGAAAGCTTTTTTATGCAGATCTCTAAACTGTTATGTGTTAAGCCTGTGGCATCAGGCCTTGCTTTATCTGCGTTACTTTCCAAACTCTCTAATACTGCTGCATTGCTTTTAAAATTAAAAGAATGAATGCTGTGCCTTTTAATCTTTTTTTCCAATTATTAAGCAATGTGGATAATTTTGGCAAATTCACAAAATGTACAGAAGAATAAAGAGGAAAATTAATATCACTCAGAGAATGACTACCACTGCTAATATATCAGGATTTTTTTCCCAGTTTTTTTTCCTATACATGTATGTTACATAAAACAAATATAGCATTTCTCTTAGAGATGAGCTGACAATAGAGTCCCCTACCTCCATAGTATGCAGTGTGAGGTCACAGTGATAAACAGTGTTCCCCTTGCATCAAACAAAGCGTCAAGGTGCACCTGAAACTAACATCATACTGTGTGTCCTTGCATAGTCAATAAGTCATGTCTGACTCTGTGCGACCCCTGGGACTGTAGCCCACCAGGCTCCTCTCTCCATGGGATTCTCCAGGCAAGAATACTGGAGTGAGTTGCCATGCCCTCCTCCAGGGGATCTTCCTGACCCAGGGATCAAACCCACGTCTCCTTCATCTCATGCATCTCCTGCAGTGGCAAGCAGATTATTTACCATTGAGCCACCTGGGAAGCCAACATAATACTGGACATCAACTGTATTTCAACTTAAAATTTTAACAAAATCAAGTTTTGAGATTGCTTGGAGAGAAGAACAAATCAAATGACACCATGAGAAACAATTGGAAAAATCAGTGCAGTTGTAGAAAAGTGAGGATGTCTGTGTGTGTGTAGGAGGTGTGGGGGAGGAGGGGCCATAGATTAAAAGAGACAGAAAAAGATATAACAAAAAACTATAAAAATTGCAGTATTTGATTTGAAAGGCTCCTGTTTGGGGTGGGGGGAACCCAGCAGTTCTCCAAGACATTCTGGGGTTGAATGAGAAATTTGGAATATGGACAAGATAGCTGGTCATATTAAAAGAATCACTATTGAACTTCCCTGATGGTCCAGAGGTTAAGAATATGCCTGCCAGTTCAGGGGACAAGGGTTTGATCCCTGGCCTGAGAAGATTCCATATGTTGCTGGGCAACTAAGCCCACAGGCCCTAGAGCTTGCTCTACAACAAAAGAAACCACTGCAGTGAGAAGCCTACACCTCGAAACTAGAGAAAAGCTGGCAAGCAGCAACAAAGACCCAGCACAGTCATAAATAAATAATATTAAAAATTAATAAAGAATCAGTATTAATTTTATTAAATGTAACCAAAGTATTGAGATCCTGTTAGAGAATGTCCCTGTTCTTAGAGGATGCTGAAATGGCATAATAATGATACAGTTTATTTTCATATGATTCAGCAAAAAACAATACATATATGCATAAAGAGGAATATGAAATGTGGCAAAATGTTGAGATTAGTGAATCTTGGTTAAGGATACACAAGTGTTCAATTCTTTCAACTTTTTTGTATATTTGGAAATTTTCATAACTTAAGAAAAAACAAGGAAGAAATGAGGAAGATGCTGACAACTCATAAAAGTGTGTTCAGCCCCCGTGCCCAAGTATCTCACAAGGGTAATTGCCAGTCTTCTTCCGTTTCCTGGCATCAAGCTCTTCTGCCTGGTCTTTATTCTATTTGTGTCTAGAACAGACTGACAAAGCAACACTTTGTACAGAGGAAAACTGGGCCCGGAGTCTTTTAAAAATGTCTGCACCCCTACCTTGCTGAACCAGAAGGGATGGTAGCAGAAGATCTGAGCAAGTACCCCTTCAGAGAAGAGATGGGCTGCTATTGCAGGGGCCCGGATCAAGCAGTGAGGAGCCTGGGGTCTGCTCTGGGCCAGCAGGTACCTCCGCCCCACCCTTGCTTCCATCTCCTCTGCATGTGGCCTTGGTGGTAAGGCAGTGAGCGTGCGGGCATGCTAAGTCGTTTCAGTCGGGTCTGACTCTTTGTGACCCCATAGACTGTAGCCCCCCAGGCTCCTCTGTCCATGGGATTTCCCAAGCAAGAATACTGGAGTGGGTTGCCATGCCCTCCTCCAGGGATCTTCCCACCCCAGGGATCGAACCTGCATCCCAGGCGGCTCCTGCATTGCAGGCAGACGCTTTACCACTGAGGCACCGGGGAGCTGGCCTGCAGTGAGCACAGCCTTCCAAACTCAGAGCTGAGAAAGGCCCTGTCACTGCTTCACCTCAAATGACACCACAGCTTTTGAAAAAAGGGGAAGTTCTCGGTATGGCAGTTTCCTGACGAACAACGGCTGATAATAATGAAACAATCTCTACTCTGCCAGGCCACCGCCTCTCACCCAGCGCCTATGGCCTCCCCCAACCAGGTCCAGGTCACATCTCCCAGCCTCTGCCTGGATTGAGGAAACTGGTGGAGCAGATAAGACTCCTGTCCTGACCGAAGCCACCCCTGGGCCATCTCCAGAGGCCAAGGGAGAGGAAGTGCCACAACGTGCCAGGTGGGGAGAAAGGAAAGTGGTCTCCATTACCTCCCTGAAGCCTCAAGCCCCACTTTACAGATCAAGGCCCTGGAACCCGGGAAGGTGACATTCATTCAAGTGGCATTGTTGTTTAGTCGCTCAGTCATGTCTGACCCTTTTGGGACCCCCGTGGACTGCAGCCTGACAGGCTCCTCTGTCCATGGGATTCCCCAGGCAAGAATACTGGAGGGGGGTGCCATTTCTTTCTCCAGGGGATCTTCCTGACCCAGGGATCGAACCCAGATCTTCTGCATTGGCAGGTGGATTCTTAACCACTGAGCCACCAGGGAAATCCTCAGGGTCAAATCCAGGTTCACCCGGCCCAGGGACCACATCCCCACAAGCCTCACATAGGCTGAGAAAGCCAAGCTCTGTTAATTGTCTCACTGTCTACGGCAGATGCAGCAGCTTTCTGAGCAGGCCTGGTGGAAACTACCTGGGAACCTGCCAAGCTGGTTACCATGCTCTTCTGCCTGGCGACCTGCTTCCTCAGCATCTCAGGGCTGGCTTGCCCCAACTTACCACCCCATCTGAAAGAACCACGCCCTAGTCCCATGCTTTCTGGGACATCACCCTGCTTTACCTTCTTCATAACCGTTATCAAAAACCACAAGTTATATTACATGCTCACTTCTTTATTGCCTGTTTCCCGAACTAGAACATAAGCTCCACCAAAGGGCCAAGCCTGTCTCGTTCACTGCAATGACCTCAGTACCAACGGCGATGTTCCAACGATGTGGGGTTCACAGGATCCCACAGCTGTGCACCCTCTCAGCTCAGCAGACTTTTCCACTCTTCAGCCATTTTGCAGCTCTTGTGCTTCCAGAATATCATTGCCTTCTTGGTGGCTGAGATTATGCAGGTCAGCCACTGCACCATGGATTTTGTATACCCATGAATCTTTACTTGTGCCGCAGTTCCTAGTTTAGAGGTGAGAAAAGAAGACTGATGGAGGTGAAGCCAATGGGTCACGCTCCAGGTGCACCTAACTCTAGACTTTTCTGCTTTTCATACAAAAGTGAAAGTGATAGCTGCTCAGTGGTGTCCAACTATTTGTGACCCCATGGACTGTAGCCTGCCAGGCTCCTCTATCCATGGGCAAGAATACTGGAGCGGGTTGCCATTTCCTCCTCCAGGCGATCTTCCTGACCCAAGGATTGAACCTGGATCTCTTGCATTGCAGGCAGATTCTTAACCATCTGAGCCACCAGGGAAGCCCTGTTCATACAAAGGCCTCAATCAAAATGAACTTCCTCCTCCTGAAAGTTGACCACTTTTTGTGTATCCCCCTTACAAGTGTCACAGGTACGCCTCACAAGGTTGCAGGGGGCTCCCAGCAGCTGCTTGGTTAAAGCATCTGACTGACACAAGGTAGGCCAAGGGGCAAGATAGTACAGACCAATCCAAATGTTGACTTTGGAATAAGAACTGGAAGCAGGCTTTATCCTTCTCTGGCAGGGAGATTGCAACCAAAGACTTTACAGGAAGGCCAGGGACATAGGTGAAGGGGAGGGAGTGGCCAGCGGTTGGGGAGCAGGGGAGGCAGACCCACCCCTAGGAGGGTAGATGTGTGTATTAGATCCTAGGGAGGTTAGGCTGTAGATAAAGGACCAAAACACCCAGATTCCCCAAGGCAAGACCTTCACCAGTTCCTACTTCCACCATCTCCCATTTCCCATGCCAGCCCTTTCTGCATGAAGAGATCCTCCCTGCCCAGCCCTCATGCGCTGAGCAGAACTCACAGCTCCTCCTGCACTGACCATCAGGTGTCACAGCTTATTTCTGACTGTGTCCACCTCTGCGGCGTGCTGTGTGTGTGTGTGCTCAGTGGTGTCTGACTCTTTGCAAGACTATAGATTATAGCCAGCCAGGCTCTTCTTCTGTTCATGGGATTTTTTTTCCAGGCAAGAGTACTGGAGTGGGCTGTCATTTCCTACTCCAGACTCAGATCTCGAACCTGCGTCTCT